TTGCATCCAACGCCTGCCTGCAGGCCCAAGAGCTGCAAGAGCTGGCGGTGCAGCGCCTGGAGGAGGAGCAGCGCGCGGCGGCAGAGGCAGAGGCGCGCGACTGGGAGGCGATGCGGCACCAGCGCGAGGTGCAGCTGCTGCTGGAGCGCAGCGCCGAGCTGCGGGAGCTCAAGGGGAAGCTGCAGGCGGCGGAGGTCAACCTGGGGCGCGTGCAGCAGAGGGAGCAGCGGGCGGCCATCGAGGCGAGGGAGCGCGAGTACAGCGCGGCTCTGGAGGCGCTGATGGCGCAGCAGCGCGAGGCGGCGGCGGCACACGAGGTGGCCCAGGCGGCGGCACGGGCACGCGTCGAGGAGGAGGCGCGGCAGGCGCTGAGCCAGCAGATGGAGGAGCGCACCCAGCTGCAGCTTGTGGCCAGGGTGGGACCCAGCCGGCGCCTGCCATGCAGATTGGGTCTGGCTGGGGAGGCATGCCGGGATGTGCGTCGCTGGTTGGCCTGTGACCAACCTGTTTGGGTGGCTGTTTTTGGCTGTGTGGTGTGTGCAGGAGGAGTTTGAGAAGGAGCGGGCCATGGTGGACGCGGTGGTGCGGCGCATAGAGGAGGAGGACGCGGCGGCGGCCGACGCGCGGCGGCGCCACCAGCAGGATGCGCAGGCCGACATCCACCGCTTCCTGGCGCAGCAGCAGGAGCTGCGGCAGAGGTGGGCCCGGGTGGGCCTGGGTGCAGGGTTGGAGGAGCCGGTGGATGCCTGAACAGTGGTTCATGGGCAAGGGGGATTGCAGCAGCTGGCGCATCCCCACCCCATCCTTCCTCCCCCGGCCACCCTCCATGCAGGCAGCGCGAGGCGGAGGCGGCTGAGGAGCGCGGCATCCAGGAGTATCTGCGCCGGCGGCGGGAGCGCGAGGCGCAGGAGGCGGCGCGCCAGGCCAACAAGCGCGAGGCGCAGGACAGGTGGGGCAGGGTGGGTGGGGCAGTGGGCACCTGTGGGCCCTCCCTTCCAGGAGACAGGATCAGGTGCAACTAATGCGTCACATTGGGATGCGCTGCTGCTGGGCTTTGATCTTTCCCGTCACGCCTGCCGCAGGGCATACGAGATCCTGAAGCGGCAGCAGCAGGAGGAGGAGGCGCGGCGCGAGGAGGAGGAGGCGCTGCTGGACCTGCTGCGCGCGGAGCTGGCGGCTGAGCGGGCGCGGGTGGCGGCCGAGCAGCGGCGGCGGCGGCAGGAGGAGATGCGGCGGGAGATGGTGGAGGCGAACGAGGTCCAGAAGCGCCTCAAGGTGGGTGTGGGTGGGGATGGGGGCGGTTTGGCTGCTGGCCGCAAGCAATAGCCGCCCCGCAGATGAGGCAGCGGCTGTATGGCCTGGCAGCAGCTGTTGGCAGGTGATGATGCTGCATGTAGTAGCACTGATCGGCTCTAACACACTCAACTGGACCTGCCGGGTTCTCCCACAGGCGGAGCGCCGGGCGGCGGAGAGGGCGGGTGAGGAGGAGTTCAGGCGGCGCATGCTCGACCGCTTTGCGGAGGAGGACCGGCTGGAGCAGATGAACATGCAGGTGTGTGGGGGGGGGAGCAGCTGCGCTGCCGGGCAGGCAGCTGATGCAATTTTTAGGTTCATGCAGGGCCAGCTGCTGCTGCGGTTTTCCCTCATTCTCCACCGATGCATCCTGGTTTGCAGAAGCGGCGCGCGAAGCAGGCAGCACACATGCGGGAGGTGGAGCGGCTGCTGGCCTACCGCCGCCAGCTGTACCACGCCATGCAGGTGCGGCAGGGCTGCTTCAGTGCTTGTTTGCAGGCCCTACTGCAGTGCTGACAGTGCACTGCGGCAGCAGGCTGCCCGTGCATAGTAGTTGCTTGCTGCTGCCTCACCTGCATGCTTTGCACCATTGCAGGAGGCGGAGGATGCAGAGGAGCGGCGGCAGGTGGAGGAGGAGGCGCGCAAGGCGGCCATCGTGGCGGCGGAGCGGCAGCGCATGCTTCTGGGTGCGGCGCACCTCAGGGAGCACCTGCCCAAGGGCGTGGTGCAGAGCATGCAGGAGCTGAGCCTGATAGAGTCTGCGGGCCGGCAGGTGGCGGGCCCCCCACCGTTGCCGGAATCGGCGTGCCAACAAGGCGGAGGGGCGCAGTATGTCGCTGGTGGCTGGGGAGATGCTGGGGAGCAGCAGCAGCATGACTACCAGGGGCTGCCTACGGTGCACACATCTAGCATGTTTGTGCCGGCAGCGGGGCAGGCGGAGCGCTGGCAGCAGGGCGCCGGCGCGCCGGCAGCAGACCGCTCGCCCTGCACAAGGCGAGCGCCCTGGTAGAGATTTTTTTGATTTTCTTTCTCATTGTTTAATTTGGTTTGTGTTTATTCCAGAAGGGTTCATCAACCACCTGTGTGACCAAACTCAAGACGGCTGCGGGCGACGGAACAAGAGGAGACACCGCCGCCGGCCAATGAATAACAAACGTTGGGTGGGCACCCACGGCCTGCATCGCTCCGCCTCTTTTCCAATGGCCCATTGGTGGTGAAATGAGAGTTGGGAGACCGGGTGGATGTTGGGGCGCAGCTGCCAGCTGGGCCAGCCATGCAGCAAGCTCCATCGGGCCCAGGGTGACGCAATCACCCTGATTCGTGCTGCAACCTAACCTGCCGCCTTCCACCGCATAATTGCGTAGCCGCCGTCGTGTCGGGCGCTCGCTCACCACTACTCCATCCACATCTCTCCCGCTCGGTGTCTCCCACTCGGCTCTCTCCCATCACGCGATGGCGCTGGATGTTATTTCGCTGGCGTTCTGCGTTGCTGGCGCCATCAGCTGGGTCGTCGCCCTGGGTGGCGTGGTAAGCGGCGGCGGCGCCGCCGCCTGCTGCCCACCGCCAACACCAGACCCTCCACCTCAACTAGACTGAATCTCTCCTGCCACGATGCAGGCTGCTGTCACCGCCATTGATGGCATGAGCCAGTCATCCACGGCCCTTGCCTGGTGGTGAGTGCAGAGTGCGGGGCTGCTGTTCCAAGCCGCTGATCCGTCGACGTTTCACAGCCTCAACGCTGACAATTTGACCTCTTCGTCGCCCCCTTGTTTGAAGGGCGGTGTGGTGGCAGTTCGGCCTGCTCATCTTCGCAGCGATGGTGTCCATGGGCAGCCTCACCTGCGTCCGCCTGAGGACCAACATGTTTCTGATGGCAAGTGGCGCGCCTAGCACTGGAAACTTAATAACAATTAATGAATTGCGGGGATGAGTTTTTCAACAGCTGCTCTCATCTGGGCTTTTGTCCCAGTGCATGGCATGATACCGACTACATGCCCTGCTGCAGGTCACCGTGGTGTGGATGCTGGTGGCGTGGGACTCGAACAAGGCGCTGGATGCCGGCACCAAGTGAGCCGGCTGGTCTTGAGTGGCTGCTGGGCCGCTGGGCCGCCTGCAGCCCCCGTGCTCAGCAGCCCATTCACTGCGCCCTCGCTGCAGGCACAACTCCCGGGTTGGATGTGAACTGGCAGGGGCCATCCTGATCCTGATCGTAAACATGTGTCAGATCATCTACTACGGACTGACCGAAGATGGCACTGAGCCCTTGCAGTGCGGCCGCCGTGCCAACCCGGTGCGATGCGTTGTTTTTGAAAGCACACAGCCGTTTCTGCATTCAAACCCCGCCATGACGTGTACATCTTGACATCTGTGCAGGACTCCGCAGCTCCCACAACCCCGCCGCCCGCGGTCGGCTTTGATTCACCCAAGCCTTCCATCCCTGAGTCCAAGCCTGCCAGCCCGGTGTGAGGGAGCTGGCCATGCGCTGCGACGCCATGCTTTCCGTCAGCGGTTTGGGCTGTAGAGGCCATTGCCGGCATGCCAGCCTGTTGCTCGACACATGGAGTTTTTTTATCCATCCATCATTCATTGCCCATTCTCTAGCCCCATATTCAGGGCGCTAGGCCCCTACAACTCTGCAGATTTTACAGCACAGCAGTGCTCAGCTTGTTGCGGCAGGTGGATGGCAGGCGGTTGCGCATCTGCTCGCAGTTCACTCGAGCCTCATGGTTTCACAATCGCCATACCAGGGCAGGAATTTTCAGGCCATTGGGCTGCATTTGAGTCTGGGCCATTGAGTCTGGGCTGCATTTTGAGTCCATCAATATTATCCGCTGGAGGCAGCTCAGCGCCGCAGTGCGCCGCCAGTTGCGGGTCTGGGGGAGCCGCTTGCTACATTGCGTTGCTTCTTCGTGGATCTTGCCTGTTCTCTTAAATTGCTCTGAGCCTCTTGCAGGCTATCCAGGTTTCTCAGCGAAAGCAAGTGCTCCTTGCTCCCCGCCATCAACTGATCACGAGGCGGGAGGGCCTCAGCTGAATTGCTTCCATCGCAATGGAGGCCCTGGCGGCCCGGCTAGATGTGGTGGGCCTGGCACTCAACCCCACAGTGCGGCACAAGTTGCAGTGCGCCGGATTTCGGACTACAGCAGACCTGGCGGCCGTGGCTGGCCCAGTGGAGCTGGCCACAGGTGCGCTGAGCGCCGCCGGTGTCTGCCCGCCTGCCACCGCCACCGCCACCTCTGCTGCCCCAGCTGCTGCATGCCACACGTGTTTCCAGCCAAGCAATCCACCAACCAGGTCCCAGTGAAGCAAGCCAGGGAATGCGCTACTTTGGAATCAAACACAGCGCTGATGCTGCCCCCGCCTTGCCTCCCTCCCCTCGTGCCTGCCCTCCTCTGCAGAGGCGCAGCTGACGCACGAAGAGGCGCTGCAGGTGCTCCAGGTGGCGGCCCCGCAGCGCGTGCAGCCCGCCGCGGCCGCCGCCGGCCACGCGCTGTCCGCGCGCCAGATCTACGAGCGCGAGGCCGCCGCCCGCCGCATCATCACCTTTGCCGCCGACCTTGACAGGATTCTGGGCGGCGGCGTGGAGACGGGCGCCATCACAGAATTCTGGTGGGCCGGCTGGCTGGGGGGGTGGCGGGGGGCTGGCTGGGAGGTGCCTGGAGCTGGTGCTGCAGCAGGCTGGGCTTGGACGATGGCTGTCGCCTGGGCTTGCAGCGGCTGCATGCGCCCCACACGCCTCCCAGCGCTATGTCTGCCTCCCCGGTGCGCCATGCCCGCAGCGGGGTGCCGGGCGTGGGCAAGACGCAGCTGGGCATGCAGCTGGCGCTGGATGTGCAGCTGCCCGCCGTGTTTGCGGGGCTGGCGGGGGCCGCTGTGTACATTGACACGGGTGGGTGGTGTGGGTGTATGCCTGGTGGGTGGTGTGGGTGTGGATGCATGCCTGGGGAGGGAGGGGCTACGCTTGCGTTGGTGGGCGGGTTGTTGGGCGGGTGTGAGGCACCCAGCTCACTCACTGCCTAACGCGCGTCGCCAGCCACCTCTGGTGTCGGACGCGCCCCGCCTCACCATGCATGCCCCTCGTCCCCCCCTTGCCCCCCCCCCCCCCACACACACACACACACACACACTCGCAGAGGGCTCCTTCATGCTGGAGCGGTGCGTCCAGATGGCCGACGCCTTCCTGGCCCACCTGCTGCGCGTGGCCGCCAACAAGGGCGACGCGGCCAAGGCGGCGGCGGCGGCGGCGCTGACCCGCGACGCGCTGCTGGCAAACATTCACTACTTCAGAGTCAGGGACCATGTGGAGCAGGTGGGGGCGCAGCAGGGGAGCAGGCGGAGGCGAGCTGCCGGCGTTGCTGGCACCAGAATGTCCGTGCCTGCTTCAGCTTCAGCACGATGGCGGCAGCCTGCCATGGCCTGATGCACGACGGACGGCTGCCTCGCCACGTGCCTGCTGCACTGCCGCTTCTGCTTGCAGCTGGCGGCGGTGGAGATGCTGCCCGCCTTTCTGGCGCAGCACCCCGCGGTGCGGCTGGTGGTGGTGGACAGCGTGACTTTCCACTTCCGGCAGGAGTATGCTGACATGGCGGCACGCACGCGCCAGCTGGGGCAGATGGCGCAGCAGCTGATGCAGCTGGCGGGGGAGCGCGACGTGGCGGTGCGTGGCGCAGCGGCGTGTGTGGGTCGCCGCAGGCTGGGACTCTGAATCACACAGTGCATCCTGGATCAGTGCCTCCCAACCTCCCCAATAAATGTGTGCGTGCTGGTGCAGGTGGTGCTGATGAACCAGGTGACCACCAAGCTAGGGGAGCGGGGAGGAGGGGGCGCTGCCGAGGTGGCGGCGCGTCTGGTGCCGGCGCTGGGCGACTCGTGGGCGCACGCCGCCACCTCCCGAGTCATCCTGCACTGGCAGGAGGACCGCCGCCACGCCTTCATCTACAAGTCCCCCACGCAGCCGGCGCAGTCGGCGGAGTACCGGGTGTCCCGGGATGGGGTGCGGGGCGTGGAGAAGCGGGGCGGCGGCAAGCGTGCACGCGAGGCGGGGTGATGGCGGGAAGCGCCGCAAGGCCCCCTCCTGCTGCTCCATTGCAGGTGGCCCTTTGCGTTCCGCGTTCATGCATCCTTTACCTGCCACGCTCTCCTTCCGCTGCTGCGCCCCGAGCTCTCGTAAGAAGGCGCGCTGCAGGCGAGCATGGGCAGGCCTGTGGTGGCACGCAGCGTGCTCCATGCATCATTCCCTGGTCTTACGGCAGCGCGTACACCCTCCTCAGACAGCTGAGGACGTCTGCAGCAAGGGTTCGTTCAAGCGGAGACAGGAAGAGACAGCCGAGCAGGATGGCGGCGGTGCAGGAGCCCAGCAGGGTCGCGTTTCTGGGCGTGCACGCCTGGAAGGGTAGGTTGCAGCTGGGCCTGGATCCGCTGGGGTCCCGGAGAGGTCTGGAGCGCCCATCACCCTGTTCGTCCCTGCCTCTCCCTGCAGCCCACGAGGCGGTGCGCTGGTGGGGCGCGGCATACAGTGAGGGGGAGCAGGCGGTGTCCGAGGGCGCCCCGACCCGGCTGGACGTGTTTGGGGTTGCGCGCGCCGACGTTGCGCTGCCGCTCGCCTGCGGCCTCGCCTGGCAGGGCCTGCGCCCCGGCAGCGACACCCGCGTGGCCTCCCACCCCGTTGTGGACGCGGTGGTGTGCTCTGGAGTGGGGCCCAACGACGTGCAGGTGTGGGGGAGCGGGGCGCGGCGCCGTTGTCAGAGGGCGGCTGCGGCTGCCTCCCGCGCCAGTCGGACCCGGCCTTCTGGGCTCACCCTTGCTTCCCCGCTCCCGCCGCAGGTGGTCAAGGACTCCCGAAGGGCGGGCAAGGCGATGTTTGTGGAGAGCCTGGTGAGTGGGGTGCCTGCTGGCTGCGGCCCACCGTGCAGCCCGATGCAGCCCGGTGCCGCTGTGTGTGTGCTGGCGGGGCGTGCGCTCCCAGACTCATCCTCGCGCCGACTAAGGGCCCACTCTCCTGCTCGGTGCCCTGGCGCAGGAGCGCTTCCAGCCGGCAGACCTGGCTGAGCTGGCGGCGACGGCGGGGGAGGGCGAAGGGCCGCAGCTGATGTCGGGCCTCTACCTGCGCTTCGATTCTGGTCAGCCGCTGGGGATCAAGCGTGCACATGCATGCATGCACAGGGGTGGCATAAAGGTGGCCCGTGCGCGACTGTGGCCCCATGCCCCGCAGCCCTGCTCTCCATGCCGCCTGCAGCCCTGCAGGAGGCGGCGCAGCTCGGCCTGGGAAGCGTGGTGGGGCGGCCGCTGCTGTTCCAGGCGCACGCCACCACCCTGGCCCCCTCGCTGGCCGACACAGGTGCGCCGCCGGCTGCGCCGGGCCTGCCCTGCTGCCGCTGTCTGTCCCCCTCCCTGGGGCGCCGCTCTTGCTCAGCCGTCGCCTGCCCCTCCCTTGCTGGCTGCCCACAGGCGGCGCGAGCGCCGGCGGCATCCCCTGGTTCAGCCGCTCCCACCCCTCGCCGGTTGTCCCCTCGCTCTTTGAGCTGGGTGCGTGGCCCAGCCGCAGCCTCGCTGCCGCAGGCGCCTCCGCACATGTCCTGCCGACCGCGGCAAGCTGGGATGCAGGCGCCCTCCACCCTCACCCTCACACCTCCACCCCCCACCCCCTGCCACCTGCAGGCATGCAGCAGGTGGATGCCCTGCGCTTCCTGCTCAAGGCAGAGCCCACAGAGGTCTTTGCCGCGGGCACCGCCGCTGCCGGCAGCGAGGGCGGCGTGCTGGACTTTGGCAGCTGCGAGGCGGTGGCGCTCACGTGAGCGGCAGCAGGGGCTGGGGCGGGGGGCTGCTGGCCCTGGCGCGCAGCCGCCTGCCTCGGCCCTCCCACATGTGTACACCGCCATCACACACGCATCAACTCGCCCCCTTGCCTGCCCTGCGCCGCTGTTGCTTGCCGCCCGCAGCATCAAGACCAGCAGCGGCGCCCTGGCCATCCTCTCACTGGACTGTGCCGGCGGCGCCGCCAGGCAGCGCATCCTGGTGGCTGGAGACCAGAGCCGGGCCGAGTTTGTCGGCGGCCTGGCTGCCAGCGAGCTGCAGACGGTGGGTGGGGGTGCGTGCGGGTGCCGGGGCGGTGTGGGGAAGGCGCCTGGCCTGCTGTTCTGGTTGCCCTGCCCTTTGGCCTGCCCCTGTGACTGCCCCCGTGACTGCCACAGCGTGGCTGGGCCTTGTTGCCCTGCCACCCGGCCGGACTCATCAGCGCACCTTCAAAAATTCAGTCCCCCCTGCCCCCATCTCCTTGCAGGCGGGCATCAGGCACTTCCTGGACGCGGCGACGGCGGGGGCGCCGCCCCGCATGGCAGCGCGCGACTGCCTGCGTGCCGCCGCCGTCATGGCAGCCGCGCGCGAGTCGCTGCGCTCCGGAGCGCCGGTGCCAGTGTCGTACGATTTTGCCGCAGCAGCCGCCGGCACCGGCGCGGTGGCGGCGGCGGCGGCGGCTGGCAAGGTGTCCAGCAAGCTGGGCAACGCGGCGGCGAGCATGGTTGACAGCGCCCAGCAGGCTGTGGCGGGCGCAGGGCAGGGCAAGGGCGCCGAGTCGCCGGCAGGCAAGCCGCATGAGGAGGGCGTGAGCACGCCGCCCCACCAGCGCACGCCGCCAGCCAAGGCCGGGCCGTCCACGCCAGAGTCCCCCGGCCTGCTGACCAACCTGCCTCCAGAGGACGACTACAGCAGCTGATGCCTCTTACGAGGTTTAGGAGAGAATGAATCAATGGAAGCATGCTGCCACAGGACGGCTGCAAAAGAATGATCGAGACCCGGCGCTGGCGAGACGCACGCCCGCAGCAGCAGCAGGATCCCGCATCGCTAGCATGCCAGTATGGGCCTGCCCCCATCCCCTTTTCCCATGTATGCAGTAGCTTGCCACCCACTTGCATAGATACGTACTGCAGGCTTCCCCCTGCCTCCACTTGTATTGCCATTGATGTACATGTTGCCCATTGATGTTTGCTTACCAAGGAAACATGATTGCATTGCCAAGGAATGCTAGCCTCAACCAGCTGCTAACCACGAACTTTGGCTGCTCCAAAATGTAACGAATTCAATCAGCTGGGCTGCTGCGCCAGGGGCCGATCCCTCCACCACGGCGCGCCCGCCTCAAACACCGCCGGCTGCGCTGCGCTGCCGCCCATGCACGCGTCCGCCACCAGCAGCTTGCAGGCCTGCAGCCCTATGCCGCCCTCTGGCTCGCCCAGCAGGCGGCCGCTGGACTGCTGGAGGTCGTGGCACGGGTGCCCTGCAAACAGGCGCTGCACAGGCAAGGCGGACAGCTCAGCAGCGCTACAGAGTCAAGAGGAAGGAAGTTGCGTGGCGCATGTGCACTCTGCATGCTAGCAGCGCTGCAGCGCCAGTGCTGCTGCGCCCCTCCACCCCCCCCACCTGTCGCAGCTCTGGTGAGGCCAGGGGCTGGTACAGGCTGTCCCCCAGCAGGGGGCAGCCCGCCGCCGACAGCTGCGCCCGTATCTGGTGCGTGCGCCCCGTCAGCAGCTCTACCGTGCACTCAAACACCTCCTGGCAGCCCCACAGCCCGGCAGCCTGCTCACCCAGCCTGTGCAGCACGGCTCAGGCAAGGCCAGAGGGCGTGGGATGCAGCGCCGGCCGTGTGCTGGTGCTGCTTGGCAGCAGGGCGCTGCCGCAGGCCTGCTGAGTCAAGACACACAGCCGGCATGCTGCACAGCCGGCCTCCCCATCCACCATGCCGCTCCGCTCCCCCACCCAGCCAACCGCCCACCTGACAGGCTGCACCTGCAGCACCCGCAGCTCGGCCGGCAGGCTGCCCCCCACGGGCGCCTCGTGCGCGATCGTGAACTGCGGCAGGCCCTGCTGCTGCCGCTCGATGCTGAGGTGGTGGCGCAGCAGGCCCAGCGGCGGCGGTGACGCGGTGACGGCGCGGTAAAACTTGCGCAGCGGGCGCTGTGCGGCAGCCGTGCCACCCCCTAAGCCTCCCTCCGTCTGCGCCTCCTCCTCAGCCTCGCCGCCACTGCTGCTGCCGCCACTTCTTCTTCGGGCGCTGTTGCCGGCGCTATCGCTGCTGCCGCCGCCGCCGCTGCTTTGGTTGCTGCTGCGCTTGACCAGCTCGTTGAAGCGGGCAACAAAGCTCTTGGTCCTGCCCAGCACCAGCAGGCCCTCGGTGCACTGGTCCAGGCGGTGGGTGATGAGCAGCGGTTGCGGCAGGCCCAGCGCCTGCACGCATGTCACGCGGGTGGGTGTGCAACAGAGGAGGGACAGATGGCCCGCAGGGCAGGTGCCGGCCTATGCCTTCTATAAAACAATCAAGAGGAAAAAGGCATGCGCAGCGGGTGCATCAGCCATACCTGGGCGGCGCAGGCAGGGGCACACTCGAGCCAGTTGTCCACGGTGGGGGCTGCGGGCACGCCTGCGGGCTTGCTGACCACTGCATACTCCTCTGTGCTGGCCACGAGGCGGTCCTGCAAAGGACGGCACCAGATACCAGAGAGCAAGATGACGGCACCGGGGCTGGCGTGGTGCGGTCGTGGCTGGCGTGCTCCGCAGCTGGTTGCCTGCGGGCTGGCGCCAGCCCAGAGCTCCCAACAATTGCCCCAGCGCCCCCTCCATCCCGCCAGCTCACCAGCCAGTCAACGGAATAGGCTGCCGGGAAGCGCTTGGGGTGCAGGTGGACGCGGATGTAGGCGTGCCGCGCCACCTCAGCATCTGCTGCGGCGCGCTGCGGCGTGCGGGCCTGTGACTGCAGGCAGGCGAGCGGGGGCGATCAGCCGCCAGCAGCTCCCACCCTCGGCGTTGCACCTGCCTGCCCTGCGGCCTCCCCCACCGCAAACTCACGCTGTTGCCGGCGCGCTGCAGCGCCTCCTGCCGCCTGCGCTGCACCTGGGCCGCTTGTTGCTGGCTCATGCTGGCCAGGATGGAGGCGGGGAGTGTGGGGGCCACGGGGCAGGTGTGGATGGCGCCAAACCGCAGCAGCAACTCGGCGGCGCCCTGCGGGGAGGCAGGCAGGCAGGCAGGCAGGCAGGCGGGTGGGCGAGGGCTGGCGCTTGGGTGGCAGAGACGAGGCTGGCCAGGTCGCTGGTGAGAGCAGCTGCAGGCATGCTCGCCGCTCCATCACACAGGCACTGCAAAAGGCTTGCCGTGCGGGTGCTGGGGCCCACAGCAGGCCAGCCCATCGCTGCCGCGTGCCTGCGGCAGCTGCAGCGACTCGGTGACCAGCTCCGACAGCCGGCCGTCGCGCGGTGCCAGCACATGCTCCACGCGGGCCCCCAGCGTGCGGTAACCAGGCGCAGGAGGTATCGCCAGGGCCTCCATGAGTCGTGGGAACGGGCTGTCAGGGCCCTGCATGGCGCACGCTGGCTGCGAAGAGGCGTGCACCACTTGTGCCTGCGGCCACCGCTGCCGCGCGCTACTGCCTGGCCGCCATGGGGCGCCGGCCGCCTGCAGGCGCGCTCTGCTGCTCTGTGAAATCAGGATGCGCCTAATGGCGTGCAGGGTGGCCCGCACCAGCTATCGAGTGGCTCTGTTGGTTTGCTGCAGCGGCCCAGGAGACGGGAAGCCCCTTGCAAGAACCGTAGATGGATGATACTCGACGGTCGGGTGCCCAATTACCTGTCAATATGCTGTTCAGCGGCCTGCCCCTGCTCCGCGCTGTGCTGTGCTAGCCGCATAGCACGGCAGAGAGAGCCTGTCGGAGGTAGGCCATGCCACACAAGGGCCGGCTGTCCCTGCCGATCAGCAGTCCCCACCGGGTGATCGACACCGCCTGAAGCAGCGAAACAAGTCTTGGCAGTCGCGATGGCGAAGGGAGGCGACAAGCGGCGCCTTGAGGAGAACCGCAGGCACCTCAACAAGCTCCGGGCGTTGGTGGCAGGCGCCAACGTGAGCCGCCGTCCTGGGCTGGGTGATGGCAGCTGTTGGACTGTCGGCCACCCTCCTCAGCCTGCTCCTGAGCCTGCCCCACTGCAGGTCGCCTTCCTGGTGATCAGGCTGCTGTTCAGGCGAAGCAGCGCCGGCAAGCTGCTGTGGGCGGGGTGGCTGCTGAGCGGCGTCATCTGCAACGTGGCTTACTATATGATCAGCCAGTCCCTTTGTGAGCTGCATGCGCTGCTGAGATGTGCTCGCTGCTGTCAAGGGAACGCCCAGCCCCCTGGCTGCATACAGCTACCCCCCGCTTCCCTGCCGACCCAGTGCCCGCCCGCCTGCCTCGTCGCCTCCGACTCCCGTCACCCTCCGCGTCACCCTCCCCTCGCAGCCCCCGTGTATGGCCCAAGCGGCGAGCTGGTGTACAGCGGGCAGGACCTGAGCGTGGGCGGCGTGCTGTCCTACATGCATGACGTCCTCTACATCTCACTCTTTGTGCAGCTGGCCGGCTGCGCCACCGACTGGGCCTGGCTCACTTTTCTGCTGGTGAGAGCACCGCCGTGCCTGCCCACAGGGAGGGGAAAGCAACGCGGTCTGAGCTGCTGCAGCCGGTAGGATGGCGCTGCATGGAGGATGGGAACCGGAGGGCCGGGTGCTGCTCAGCTGCATGGTAGGTGGGGCTCACGCATGCCGCCGTTCTGCCTCTGTGCCTGCCTGCCCCGCCTGCAGATCCCCGCCTATGCGCTGTACATGCTGGCTGTCAACGTGCTGATCCCCTACTGGAACACACCCAAGCTTCGAGACATGCCTGAGACAGGTGCGGGAGGGAGGGGTGCGGCAAGCCGGCAGGGCAGCGGGAGCTGTCCCTGGCATGCGCGCCGCTTGACGTGGGCAGGCCTGCAGGCACAGTTTCCTGGAGGCCGGTCGCTGCTGCCATGCCCAGGCGGCAGCCAACCCGGTTGCGTTTGTGTGCTCCCTGCCTGTGTTTCGCAGAAGCGGACCGCAAGCGTCGAGAGAAGAGGGAGCGGCAGTCGGCGCGGGCCGCCAAGTTTGGGGGCCGCTAAGGCTAAGCTCTGAATGCCGCTGCTGTGTCCATGCAGTGCATGCATGCGCCAGTATCACGTCCTCTCTGAGTTGAAACGCAGCAGACAAGCATGTGAAGAAACACGCAGTGCTCTGACGGCAGCAGCTTGGCCTTGACAACCTGACGGTGCTGCTGGTGAGGTTTTCCAGGCTGGGGCCCCACGGGTCGACATAAAACTGCCTCTCCCGCTTCTAAGGCATGCTGTCGGCCGGTGCCACTGTCCGGTACCCTCCTCCTGCGACTGATGGCTGCAGCCTACCATCTGCCTCCTGCTGCATCTGCTGCCTGGGGCATGGAAAGACATAGGAGAAGGTGAATAATCAAAGAATTGGCAGGCAGTTCATTTGGTTGAATGGTACATTTGGCACATGAATCATGTCTCCGCGCGAGCGCTGGCCGGGCAGCTCTGGCCGTGCCCCATGACGCCCGCTGAATCCACATGGAAGCGGTGCCGCTGCTGCGCATAGTAGTCCCGCAGATACCGCTGCCGTCGGCTGCTGCTGGGGCTGCCGCTGCCTTCTGCACTGCTGCTGCTACTGAGTGCGCTGCCGCCGTCTGCGTCCTCGCTGCCGCTGTTCACCACCGCAATCTCTCGGAGCACCTCCTCCAGCCCCACCCACGGCAACCGCGTGCTGCGCTCCCGCGGCCAAAACTTGGACGGCTGCACCCGCGCCCGCTCAGCGGGGCCCGGCTGCGAGATGGTGGCGTCACACACCACCGCCACCCACCACAGCAGCTGGGAGGTGAGGTCCTGCGCAGGGTGTGGTGGGGGGCAGAGGGGGGACTCGGATCAGTGCAGCACGCAAGCAGGCACGGCCGTTTGCACGCAGCTTGGCGGCAGCGCTGCCGGCGTGTCGTGTGGCAAGCAGCGTTACTGCAGCCGAGGCGCCGCCGCACACGGCCGTGCCGGCCCGTGAGCTGCGTCCCACCTGGGCGTTGAAGACAGAGAGGGAGTTGGCACCGGGGTGCTGCTCATACTGGTAGGGCATGAGCTCCACCACGCTGCTGCCGGGGCGCATGAAGAATGCGTTGGCCATGTTGGCGCCTGCGGGGGGAGGTGGAGGTGGCAGGAGGGTGGCTCGAGGAGTGGTGGGGCGGTGTTGGTAAGGTGGGATGCATGTGGGCGCGCATGTGGGCCTGCCTGCATCCTAACTTTTTGACCCTGCACACAGAGGAGCGAGGGGTATCCAGTACTGCTAGCCGACTGCGCGCACCATGCATACCAACCAACACGTCAGCCTCCTGCGCCACTGCGACGCCCTCTGCGACCGTGGGCGTCCGCGCCTGCGCCAGCAAGGCAGCCCAGGTGGGGGCCGTGAGCGAGGAACACAAGGGCCCGCAGGCAGCCAGATGCCTGGGTGCCCGGCCAGCCGCACAGCGCGACAGCACCCCACAGCGCAGCACAGTGCAGCCCCAGCTGGCGGTGCCGCACCTGGCGGCACTCGGCGGCGAAGGTGGTACCGCTGCCGGCCGGCTCGTACCGCCAGGCATTGCACCGCTCAAGCAGCTCCTCCGCATTCAGCAGCTGGCGCCCCTCGCCGTCTCGCTGCAGGAAGACCACCCTGAGCCGCTGGGTGCCGCCTGCCGCCGCATCGCTGCTGCCGCCCTCGCCGCCGCCGGCAGGCCGCGGCTCCAGCCCCACCACCAGCGCCTCTGGCATCTGCACTCGCTGCCGCCTGGCCAGCTGGGCGGCCTGCGCCGCACGCCGCTGCTCCAGCACATGCCGCGCCACGGCCTGGCCCCACCCAAACAGCTCTCTAGGCACCAGCGTGCTGCCGCCTCCATCGCCGCCGCCCGCCGCTGCTGGCTCGGTTTCGCTGCTGCCTCCTCCTGCTGCTGTGCCTGCCCCTGCTCCAGCCCTGGCCTCCTCCCCGCCCAGTGCGTCCTGCCAGGACCAGTGGTCCACTTTGATCTCCCGCCCACACACAAACAGGTCTTGGAAGCAGCGCTGCTCGCCGCCCTCGTGGCTCGCCGGCGGCGCCCCCGCCTGCAAGGCGCGAGGCACACACGATGGAGTTGCCCAGTGCACAGCACCCTCACAGCTACATGGTGCAGCCTCAAAGCCACCACCCGCTCCTGCCCCTCACCCACCCACCCACCTCGCTGCTGTCTGCCGTGGCCGCCGCTCCCGGCATGTGCCCTGGCGGCAGCCGGTTGCTGAAGTCGGCCAGCGTCTGCAGCGACAGGGGGCTGAGCGGCGGCAGCAGCTGCGCCTCCACATCGGTCAGTGCCAAGCCCTCGGGCGTCATGACGACGGGCTTGAGGTGGCGGCGCCAGGGCGTGCGCCGCGCCATGGCGTGCCACACCGCCGCGTTGGCTGCGCGTGGGGGCGGTGGGGGCGCATGGCGGGACGCTCAGGCCAGCAGGCGGCATACCCCGGCATGGCAAGGACCCCGAGGAGCGCTCCCACCTGCCTGCCCCGTTGCCCCTGGCCCAAGCAGGCGCCGCCCGCCGCCAGCAAGCAGGCAGCGGCCCCGCTGCTGGAGGCCCCCCCTTCCCTCTCCCCTCACCCATGGTGTGCCACAAGTTGGAGCCCCAGGTGACCCCCAGCAGCACCGGCACAGTGCAGGTGGAGAAGGCGGGGCTCTGCAGGTAGGGGGTGGGCTCCAGCGCAGAGGCGGGCCGCTGGCGTGGCGCCGCCAGGTGGCGGGTCGCGTGCGCCTCCTGCAGGCTCGGGCGCAGGCAGCAGCAGCAGCGTGCGTTGAGCGCGGATGGCAGCGCTGAGACGGGGTGGGCGTGCTGAGCACTACAACGGGCGGCAGCAGCAACCAGCAGCAGCAACAGCGTACAACCAAAATGCAACAGCCACGCCCTCCAAAGCAAACACCACCGCGCCGCCCACCACACACCTTGAGTTCGTAAGCCATTCTGCGCGGCTGCTGCCGCTGCTGGCTGCTGCTGCTGCTTGCTGTCGTGACATTGCTGCCGCCCTCGCCGCCGGCATACCAGGGATACTTGTACGCCTTCTTGAGCGACACTTTCAGCTTGGGCAGGCGCCCCGCCACCCTGTCGCCCTGCTGCTGGTACGCCGGGTCATAGTGAATTAGCGTGGAGTAATCCAGGCAGACCTGCTGCAGCCGCTGGCAGTGAGCGGCCCAGGGCGACTGCTCAACTGCGAGCTCGCAGCGCGGCGGCGGCGGCGGCGGCTCCTCTGCCGCCAGCGCAGGGTGGGGCGCGCCGGGCCCTGCTGCTGCTGCTGCACCCGCCGCGGCGATCGAGCATCGCTGCTGATGCCAGGGCTGCAGCAGCGACAGCATGGTCGCTGCACAGGCCAGCGCGGCAGCCAGGAGCAGCCTGCTGCCGGCAGGTGGCGAAGTGGCTGCGGGCATGGCGCCGCCGAGCTAGGCGACCCAGATGAACGTGCGATCAACGCGCGCCGGAGCCAGCCGGCTGACCATGTCAGAGATTCCCATGTCAGAGATGCTGGCAGCAAGGGCTCAAGGTACCAAGCAGATAAAGTGCTGTGGACGAGGCAGATAGCTTGGGTCCGGGTGCTTCGCCGCCAGGAGGCCCAGAGCACGAGATGGACCGTACTGCACCGCCGCTCGGCTGCCCGAACGGGCTGAGCATGTGCCTGGCTTTGAGGACTGACAGACAGGAGCATAGAGCACACAATTTGTGAGTGTGTGGAACGGCTGTTGAAGGAGCTCCCGCCTTCGCCTTCTGAGCTGCAATGTCCCAACCAGTGCCGCCACCGCGCCGGCGGATTTTGCGCCGGTCCGATTTTTCTCTCGCTGACTCGCGCCGCGAGGCATTGCACAAAGCTCTGGGCATCCCAGACCGTTTAATTCACAGGATGAATGCTTCCTTGCTGGCGAATCCATAGGGAGGGGAAGGGCGAAACTTGCTTCATCGTGTCGTGCGCAGCCGTGGCGGGAGCGGCGCACAGCGGCCGGGGCTGCACACGAGGTGCATCCGCCCCTTGTTAACAACGTAGCACGTGGGAAAATAACATAGGTAGACAGGCTGATGCATCATGCTTTTGAACAAGCATTTAGGGGTGGTGTGCAGTCCTTCTGAAACACCGACGGACCGCTTGTGGCTGGCGCGCAGGCGGGGCATGCCCGCTGCGACCTGTGCCCACGCCAGCCACATGTTGCTCATGTCTCCAGCGCATTCCGTCGAGGTACTCGTCTCATTTTGTCGTATCGCAAGCCGCCGCATCAAACACACACCGCCGCAGGTGGTCTCGGAGGCTTTGGCTTGCACTTTGTGGTTGCCATGGCGGGCGTGGTTGCGACGGCGTTTTGCATGCCCCTGGCCTCTCGCAAGCTGCTCAGACGGTCCCAGAGGGCGAGAGCGGCGCCAATGTGCTTGCGAGTAGTCGCTGCGCAAGGGGACTCGGGCAACAGGTGAGCGGTTGCCGTGACTGTGGCTCCATAATCACTGCAGTAGCTTTCTCTGGTCCTAAGAGCCAAGGGAAAAGCGGCTGAGCGGCTTGGCCCCTTGTGGCTGACGTTTGAACTTGGCGCCGGCGCCCGGGCAGCTCCCGCCGCCGACTCGCGTCGGCCCCTCATTCCTTGCCTTTGGATGGTCTCGCCAGTCTGAGGCACCTCCTCCTCCTTGCCCTTGCCGGTGCAGTGACGTGCAAGGGCAGGGCTCCTCGCCCTGGTCCGCCGCTGACGCCGCCTTTCTAAAGGCTATGGCCCTGCGTCCACGCCTGCCCACCCACAACGTGTGCTGGGATGACGCTGTGGGGGACCACAACCTGATCTCCAACTGGCATGCAGAGGCATGGATGATGCTGTCGCAGGCCAAGGCCGCAGACGCCGCGGCGCAGCAAGCCGCAGAGTCGGAGTAGGGGCGGCGGCTGCTGCACGGCAGCAGCTGTACCAGCAGCGCAGGACACGCATCACTGTGACAGAGGCCCACCACCAGCCTGTACCGCGGCTGCCCAGTGTGTGTATGCTGTTTCGGGAGCAGGCGGCCGCCCTGCACTCTCCATGCCTGATGAGCGCCCCAAGCAGCCGCCAAGCCCCCCGATTTTCGCCTTTTCGTCGCCCCACCCCTGCATTTCATTCCCCTCTTGAAGTATGCCATCCATCCCTCATATTGCATTCCATCAAACTGCACTCCGCTCTGGACCCCTCCCTGCGCCCCATCTGCCTCAATGTTCTTTCTTTCCAATTTGCCACTGTACCATCATTCATTCGCTGTAAAGTAGCACACCCCAGGACACGCGCACCCCAGCATCTCGGCTGCCTGGCCAAGCAGTCTGCCGCAGCGGCTTTGCGTCAGCGCTCCGCCTCCTTCCCAAGCTTGGCATGTATATCGGGATAGGACCAGGGCACAAACCCTTCTCCTTGCACCTCCTCTGCAGCCACGCCATCAGCACACAAGCATTTCCAAACTGGGTGTGGAGCCAGGCTGAGTGCAGTGCCATGGGTCTGCTGGCTCGGTGCCCGCAGGGCCACACCCGACCGCCATGCACCGCGGCGCTGGCCCACCTTCCGATGCGGAGGGCGGCCGCTGCTCTAGCTTCAGGTACTCTCCGGTGAACTCAAACTGGGGGCACTCCTCGTTGCTGTACTCGCCCGGCAGCACCTCTGCAGGCGCACGGGGCATGGGGCAGGGGCACGCATGGAGGGTGCTCAGGGTGGGGGCCACTTGAGATGCGCAGGAGGCAATGCAACTACAGAGGACACGACACTGGGCCGCCCCCCCAGCGCCGCAGCGCGCCTGCGTCCTCGGGCAGCGGCTTGAACCAGCGCGGCTGCCACTTCTCGCCGCGCTTCTCCCGCTCCTGCAACCAACGCGGCACGGCGGGCGGCGTGGCCGGCGGCAGCGTGCTTTGGGTGGCAGCAGCAGCAGGCAGACGTGGTCTGGCGGGCCTGGCCGTGCATGTGCACAGCGGTATGACACACGCACAGCTGGCCCCGACAAACATGCAGCATGCACAGTTGGTCCCTACAAACATGCAGCATGCACACAGCCACAGCCGGTCACCTTGCGCTCCGCCCGCTGCATCTCCTCCAGGTTGTACTTGGCCACAGCAGAGTCTGCGGGGAGGGAGGCAGGGAGGGGCCGAGCAGGCGGTGGGTGGGGCGAGTCCCGCCATGGCAGGCGGAGGGAGCGGAGCGGGCCACAGGCGAGGCGAGAGCAGCCCTCCAGCGCGCCTGCCCACCCCCCCAGCCCACCCCTCACCTGACGAGTTGCCCAGCTCCAGCAGCGCGCGGTCGGGGCGGCGGCGGGAGTCGGAGGGTAGCGGGTTGATGCCGCCCTCGCAGCTGTTGAGGGTGTGGGCAAAGTGGGTGAAGCCGTACGGGTCGTCTGCGGGCTTCTCCGCGCACTGCGGGCAGGCAGGCGGGCAGGCAGGCAGGCAGCGGCAGGTGTGTGTGTGTGTGTGTGTGT